TTCCAGAAAAGGGAACCTTATCTGAAGATGGACTATCAATTAACTTTCATTGATAAAATAAACAATACAAATTCAAATTCATATATGATCTTTTATTCAAAAGACTTGTTATGAATCAAAGAATTATTACTGTTAACAACTAAACATGTAAATTAAGTACAGCAAATATCTCATAAGGAAGAGAATTTATGGATGCCATCCAAAGACTTAAATATGTCATAAGTTCAAAGCTTTAATCAACAAAATCACCTGTTGACATCATGACTGTTACTTAGTAAGAAGAAATAATGTTTTTATTGCCCAAGAAAACACATGCCTAAAAGGACATAAGACTAAAAAATATATGTTTAATTTTACAAATCACATGTGAAGTGACAAGTTTGTTTGTTTGTTGAACGCCGCACTCAGCAATATTCCAGCTACATGACGGTGGTAATAAATACATCGAGTCTGGACCAGACAGTCCAGTGATTGACATCATGAGCATTGATCCAAATGATTCAGCGAGCCTGACCACCCGATCCCGAAAGTCGCCTCTTACGACAAGCATAGTCGCCTCTTACAGCATGCGTGGTTATTACCTATGCATGAAACAACATACATTTAGATGCAAATATCAGGTAGCTGGACCCCTGGAGTTCATTAGATATTTAAACATATATCCCAAGTATGCTTCACAAATACTGATGTGAACATAACTTTTCCTTAAATAATAAAAATACACACAAACAGGGATTCAGACCAGTTCCTTTTCTAGGATACTGACTGATTGTCATCCATAATGTCCTAAGGTTGTTCAAAAATTTGGTAAAGTCATTTCAAAAGATAAAAAACCCACTTGAAAATGTCCTGAAGCCAGCAATATCACTGTGAAGTAAATATGAAGCTCATTCTCAACATAATCATAACCAAAACTTGAACAATATGTAAATAACCAACATCCTTAATAAACACGAGCTCTTGTCAATTACCAAATATTGACAATCTCCTCAAATCATTGTAAAAAGTCAGTTTGGGTTAAATACATTTCAATATTCATGACAGTTATATATGAAATGTATTAAGAATTATATAATTTATTCTGTATCAGGCACTCTGGACTCTGGACAAGATATATCTTGAAATAAGTTTCATGCGTTATGATACTGGTAATCACTTTCAACACTATCTTTTTGAAAAATATATTATTTAAAAAGAAATAATATTATGTCCTATAGAAAAAGCCAACAAGCTAAGTTTTGTACCAGGTGGATGTTGTACCATCAAACATTTAGTGTGTGTTAGTTAGTGCAATTAAATCATATGAATCTGACTTTTATACGGCATCAATTAAATAACTGATTTGAATAATTATTAATTACTTGATTAGATTATAATTTATATCATTACTTGACCATGTTACTCTGAGTTCATAAAAAATCTTGCTATTATTTCCAGTAAATTAATTAAAATGACTTGACACTTTTAATCGTTTTTAACAGTTATATTGTTTCACTAAAATGTATATCAGTAAGCTTCCACTACCAGTGAATAACTTATGTTGCAAACAGTTGTAAACCAATGATTTTTTTATATTAACTAAGATGTGTTTTTTTAAAATTTCAATCTGTCAAAATATTTCAGTAATTCACTTCCTTCTCATGAATTTTTCCTTTTCTTTCTAACCTTAAAGGGATGATTCCATTTCACAAGAATAGGATCAGGTAATTCATTACTGCATGGGTCCTGTCTCTTCATAGAGATGCTGAAATATTCAAAGCATGATTTAATGGGAACTTTTATGAATTAAATTGAACGATTTTGTGGAACGAAAACCATTGATTATAATTATATTTCTATGTTTAAAGAATTATTACTGCTAGAGTAATTTGCAATATTATGCTCGAGTAATTTGCAATATTAATAGATAGGCTTATTGTGAGTTTTGTTATTTTGAAACTAAATCATATCTAAAAATATGTAACAAAATAAATAATATCTAATAGAGAGGAATACAATTTCCACCAGATTGTACTTCAATGTAAAAAATAGTAGATTTCGTTCTGCGCTAACCGAAATCAGATCACTGTCATATTTGTTTACAGTGTGTCACGGCCGTCTCGCATGTCACATTTCAGCAATATGACCTGCTAACTCAATGCCGGATGTTGCCAAAATAGAAAATTCAAAAATGATTTTGTAGTTACAAGCATTATCCTTGTTTATAACCTGCGTAAAATCATAACTTGCAACGTGTTGTCATTTACCCATATTGAGTATGCATATATGCAAAAAGGAGGAAATTCGTGAAAATTCTCACCTTTGAGCAGACGTTGGTCCCGTGGAAGATGGTGGCGACATATAGCTGATGGTGAGGCCTACCGCACATCTTGATCAGCCTCAAACATTTTCTCCCGACCATGTGGGTTTGGGTAAAGGTATACATCTAATCCCAGCGATACGTAATGGATATCGCGAGTGAAAATAGCAGAAACCGTAGCCACGCCGCTTCTCGGGTATCGTTTGAACCCGGAAGTAAGTCTGACAAATCCGCAAAGCGCGCTCGGCCTTCTGATTGGCTCAAACGGACGCATGCGCCAATTTTGATTGACAGACTGGATCGGTCTATTCTTCCATCCACGATTGAATGACCATTTCCCCCGTGAAATAATCTGTCTCACCAGAGCAGGCCCCTGTTCTTCTCATGAGTGTGGCATCTTTCGTTGATGAATCATCATTTCGGCCATTAAGGACAATGTTAGCAGCAGCATATTTCTGCACAACCTATAGATGGTATATAGTTGAAATACGTGATATAACGTAGAACCTCTTGGTCAGGGTAGCCGGCGAAGTACAACACTACAACCAAGAATGTACTGGACATTTCCAGGTTCTTGTTGTTTCACTTGGAGGGTTTTCCAGATAGCATCCGCAAGGGTTGCCTTCCTGACCTTAAGGTAATTCAACAATGCTGGTGGGTGACTACAGAGTTCATACTTGAACAGTGCTGGTAGATAGATCTTGTACTATACTGGTTTGACAGTTTATTTCACGGGGAAATGATCATTCGATCGAAGAGGGAAGCATTCTTGAAGAACGCAAAAAACAAACAGCACTTTATTTCCCGTCTGGGTGACAAACTGGATAGATCTGGGTGCAGTTCTGCACATACAAAACAGGCGAACATTAACTTGTGTCTTTATGGTGGAAGTAAGGAGGAAGGACTGGACAACTTAAGGCACAAGTGATTTTGTGAGAAGGTGACGAAGAACACGGGTAATGGGCATGCTTCAAACCAGTAGAACTCGGAGAGTGATAGCCAATATGTTCAATGTGTTCAGACTTTGGAACATGTTTCTGCAGACACAAAATGTTGATGATCGACCCCAGGTATTGATCGAAGACCAGGATCGACTAATCAGAAGCCAGCATTTACGAAATCGAGCCCAAATAGCCAATCAAATCGCTGTTCACTTACACCAGTACACGAGATTTAAAGTTACTGACAAGACTTTAAGAAATTGTCGTCATTCTGCTCAACTGCATGCTCGGCAACCGCGTTTGGTGCCACCGTTAACAAATCCACACATTCCTACCAGACGCCAATGAGGTTTAGAGCATAGAACCTGTGGGAATTACCAAGTCTCGAATAATATTTTACAAAATTCAAGGCCTTAGTAAAGCTTTATAAATTCTTTATGGTAGACATCTGGAGGACATTTCCAAATTTGACGCATCAGCGACAAAACATTATGTCCGATGCGATTCCCTGTTGTGACTTGTACCATATGTTCCCATGTTTTGTTCAGGTGAAGTCCTGACTTGCTTTTCCTTGTGTTTGTGACGGGTGGCGTCGGTGGGGCAGGATGCGCTCACCTGGTACTGAATAGGTACATTCAAATTCTGTTTACTCTTTTCCAGTTTTTACATTCTAACAATGACAATCATGCATTCCATTAATATAGCAGTCATATGTGACCAACTGTAGTCTGATGAATCTTGGAAGCCACAAACAGTGTAAGTTACATCACGATCTGCCAATTCAACGTTCTGCAACATGTTCCTATAACTAGGAAAAAGTGATGTTTTACAGGCAAATGAAACTGTTGGTGGTTCATGAAACTGTTGGTGGTTCTTGAAATTTGAAAAATGGTCGGACATTTAGGGAAACTGATTTTTGTCAGAGAATGTTACTTAAATTAAAGTATAAATTCCTCTTTTTCGGCAAATTTCAAATTCAGGAGCATGTAGTCTTTGTCTGATTCATTGGACTCTTTTTCTGGTTTGGCCAAACGTTTCAAGGTAATATCAAGAACTGCATGTTTTCTCTAGTCGATATTGTGGGCTCTTACTGCTTGTTGACCCATCCATTAGCAAACGTTGCTTAAGGCATTTTATTTCTTTCATCGCCTGAATGTATACATAGTCTTGTTCTTCCTTTGTGCATTCTCAATGGTTCCTGAAGAAGGGACGACACATCTTGCAAATGAATGGTATCTTTAATTTGGTTGGTTGGTTGGTTGGTTGGTTGGTTGTTTAACGCCGCACTCAGCAATATTCCAGCTATATGACGGCGGTCTGTATATAATCGAGTCGGGACCAGACAATCCAGTGATTAATATCATGAGCATCAATCCACGCAATTGGGATCGATGACATGCATCAATTAAGTCAGCGAGCCTGACCACCCGATCCCGTTCGTCGCCTCTTAAGACAAGAATAGTCGCCTTTTACAGCAAGCATGGGTTGATGAAGACCTGTTCTACCCCGGATCTTCACGGGTCGGGATCTTTGGAAAAGGTTTTGTCGCTTAAAATTTACTGCAAAGGGAGATAATTCGTTATTTTCCTTTTGTGTCCAAATTACCATTGTGTAGATGTAGAAAATACGATAGGTTTCCTTGATCACATTCCCTTAAATATTATCTGAAAAAAGGTGAATCAGCGCTATTGGTTATGTTGCAGATTTTATTTAAACAATTTTAACTTATGGCACAATGCCCTTTGGTAACATGTCCAGTAGCGAGGCAGGGTATGATATCCATACATAACGTCATTTCATTGAAGCCATTTGAATCGTCAACATCTGACCATTTAAACCAGACGTTGTTTTTTAGCAGCTGCATAAGCTTTCAACATCATGGACACAAGATGACCGAAGTCTCAAATGTTGTTTCTTAGCAACTGTATAAGCTTTCAACATCTTGGACACAAGATGACCGAAGTCTCGGATATCCTTTCTGTAATCTTCCTCCATTTCCGTTGCAATGGGGACACATGGTGCAGTAACTTTTCTGACGATCTGAACAATAATAATATGTATGTATGAAAAATAATAAATAAACCGATATACTGTCAATATACATGTCTTCGGCGTGACGCACTGGTTACCCAACCGTCTCCTTTATATGCACAAACTAGTAACACGAATAAGTACAAATTAACGCACAAGCAAACTTATCACCCGACAGACCTTTTTAAAGATTAAGTATCAGTATTGATAAACATACTCCCTCATCGATGACAACGTATACACTGTCTGTCTCCAGCAAGCCATTGACAAGCCCATTGGAGTGAAGAAGGTGCACAGATCTGGCTAGCTGGTAAGCAATATTTAGCATATCTTTGGCTGACGTCAGTGACCCCATGTAAGAGGACAGACAGACCGAATTCGGGGGCTGGCTCAGCAATAAGAATTCTTTCTTCAGGAGGTGAGGGACAGAGGACTTAGTACTGGCTGTAAAAGCATACACACATATATAAATTAGTTGTACGTGTACCCTGTGCACTGGAAATATTGCAAGGTGAATATGAAAGAGAAGATACTGAAAATAACAAAAGTAAAATCTTGTCGTTTACATATTTTAATTTTGATAATTAATTTACTTCATGGCTCGAATTTTCCAAATATACCACAAACAAACATCTTAGCACTGTAGCTTAATGAACACAACCACACAACATGTTACACGTACCTGTTGATCGCGTAGAAGTCCAAGTTGTTTTTGTTTTGTTTTGCTGAAAAAACATGCTCGTAAATAATTTATCTTCATACATATATACCTCTGTATAATGTGTATCACCACATTATGGAATAAATAAGGAAACTGTATGTCCTATTTGTGAAATAATACCCCCCTCTATATTTTCTCCCGATTCATTATATTTTATGAAATTGAAAACATGACTTCATTTGATTTCAAGGGTCCAGTTAAATAGTGGATTCTTAGACAGAATCTTAGGAATATCGCAAAAAGATATTGTACAGTAAAGACAAATAAAAGGTATGATGGATGTTTAAAGTAGCAGTTGCAAAGTGAAATTCCTACTGGGAACCGTGTTGTTCCCAATGGCACGGATTTGTTCAGAGAAAAAGGTCATGGTAGACGTCTGTGGAATGCATTTCACTTCTGGTATTTTTAAAGAGGGTTGTTAAAAGGCATATCATGTTATTATCATAATTTCGGATTCCTTTGGTATTATTTAGTATTCTGTATTTGGTACAGAAATGTTTGGTAAACACACAATAGACATCATTGCTACCTTCCGTTTTCTCATTGAGTCAACAGCTGAAAGGGTGTAGATGATGGGGTTGAGAGCGGAGTTGATCGGCAGAACAAACACTGCAACCCAGGCGTATACTTCAGAGTTGATCACGTAACCCTGGAGAGCCATCATACCTGTTGTAAGAATCTTATGTAATTATTATAACCCAATTTGAACTTCCTTAAAATACATGTTCAGTCAAGATTCCAATGTTTTCCTGTTATGTGTGACAATAACATCCATGAACTTTTTAAGGAATATAAGACATTCCGTTATGTATTACTGTGGCTGTTATAACTTACCCATGAAACAGATAGGAAACCAACACACGAAGTCCGTCGGAACTATGAAGGAGAGCTTCCTGGCAATGGCCATGTCGTTGGTTGTCCGCCCCTTCCTCAGCTTCTGACTGGCCCTCACTGTCTGGTAGATGATAGCCTGACCCAAAGCGATGAAGACAAAACAAATGAAGTTCCAGATGACAAAGATAGCGGTGGAATACTCCCATCCCGGAGGTCTGTTCCTGGTCAGCGGTAAAGCGAGACACACTCCTGATCTGGAGTAGAACAACCTGGAAAAGTAGTCGATGGGCAATAGGGGCACCCCTGCCATCAGGAAGCCAACAAACCATATTGAAATGCTGATACACTTCGAACGTTTCTTAAAGACCTTAAGTTCTTTGAATGGGAGTTTAATGACAAGGACTCTCTCCAAGGTGATAATGCAGAGGAACATCACTGATGTCTCACTTGACAGGGTTGCTAGGAGACCTGCTAGCTGACACACCCAGCTGTTTCTCCACGCCTCATCATTCCAGCTGTACACTCCTCTGTAGATGACGTCAGCGCTTGCTATGATGATCATATATACACCCATTACTAAGTCAGAGATGGCGAGGTTGGCAACGAAAAAATCATTGCTGCGTTTAAAACTCTGCCTATCGTAAATGCATCGCAAAAGAAGTGCAAGGAGGTTGCCAATGAGAGCAACAAAGCCCAGAACCCACATGCATATTCTCAGAGCTTCATTCCTCATAAGGTCTGAGCAAGAAGAAAACTCGTCAGCCGCAGGTAGACATTGTTCATTTGGGACACTCGATGGTTTGAAGCAACAGAAGACATACTTATCACTGTACAGGTAGTTCAGCTGTATTAAGCCATCGAATAGATCTCCCGTGAAATCTGTGATCAAATTATGTGTTAGATCAAGTGTGTGCAGTTTACTGACTCCACTGAAACTCTTGTCTTCTATTGTTGTGATCTTACTGTCAGAAAGGTTCAAATTCAGAAGACTGGATAACCCCTGGAACATGTCCCTCTTCAATGTCCTAAGAGCAATACCAGAAAGGTCGAGTGAAGGAAGGCTTGTTAGTCCATCAAATGAGGCTGCAGTCAGTTTGAACGTTCCATTTCCATTGAGCAATAATGACATAAGATTTCCCATACTCGGAAATAACCCTTCAGGTAACAAGCTGACCGAGTTCATACTGAGGTCCAAATGCAATAAGTTTTTCAGTCCACTTAGAGAGTTTTTTTCCAGTACATGGACCCCAAGATAGGAAAGGTCCAGGAGTGCTAAGTTTTCCATATGGTGGAAGGTATCATTCTTCAATGTTTTATTAAAACTTCCCCTTAACCTGAGTGCTCTTGTATAATTGGGTAGATGTTGAATTTTGTCCAGATAGAACCCAGCACATGTGACATAGGCACCTATACAATCACACTCATCTGGGCAGCGGGTGTCACAGAAATATTCATCATCTCCTTCAGGACAATGTCGGATTGTATCACACACCTGTTGCCATGGGATACACACCCTGTTACCATGACAACGGAATCTACTAGGGCATGTGATATTAGCTGCAATATAATTAGACAGGCATGTTTTTTTCGATACATTAAGTGTTGACAAAACATTATTTATATTAAGGTAAACTAAAGTCTGAATGTACACAGTGGGTTACTATTACCATTTGATAGATAGATATGCGCAGTGTCTTACGAACAATCCATAAACAATAATCCATCATCTTTAGGTCGTGCCTGTGGCATTATGCATGGTTCATAAAGTATGTGGAGGATTACTGCATTTTATGTTGAATCTTTGTATTGACGAATAAGCACATGACTCCAAGTATGGCTTCACTGTGATTCGTTCACAGCAAACTTGAACCGATTTTATGAAGAAATGCTACATTTATTAACACGATGTGTGACAGGAAAACATGACTAAAGTTTACAAATATCATGTAACTTAAACCTACTGCATCCTCTTTCGTCCATGCCGTCAGCACAGTCCGGGCGTCCATCACAGACCAACCTGATGGGGATGCAGTAGCTGGAGGGACACTTGATGTGATCTACTGGGCACTCGTGCTTCTCTGTTGTGATGGGAATATACATTTACAATATATCAGATTTGCTCAGTTCATAGTAAATGTATTGTGTTTAAATGGGAATTTGTCCTGATTCTTCCCCAAAAGGAATGCAAACTGACGAGGGGACCACAAATGAATGCAAATAGTTTTACCTCTGTCTTCGCGAACACCTGGTGTCATAATTGATTTTCAGTGATCTATTCATATAATGGTCACCACAATTTTACATTTAGTAGTAGAATATGTTTCGGCAGACAATTAAGACTGATTATTCTCTGGCGTTGACGTTTGATGTTACCTGTGTTTCTTTACAATGTGTGAACAAAATACGTTCGCGGGATTCATCCTTATCGACAAATGCGTAAATGCATGTCAAGATCTAAGACTAATGAAATTGATTTTTTTATTGAGAATATTGATTGCATATCCCAACCACAATTCTGTATATGTGTGAGGTCTCGGCATCCTGTGTAGTGTTGATAGATGTCGTAATCCAAGATGCATTTATGAGAGATGTCAACGACGACGCCGCTCTTACAAATGAGGGAACTTTTGTTGGATCCTGATGCTGCGATGCAAAAATAGTCAGTGAATCAAAGAATCATGACTTTTGAAATTACAATGGACACCACGAAGCATCATCAGTGAGTGAGTGAGTTGTGTCTAACGTCGCTTTTAACAGTATTCCAGTTATATCGCGGCGTGTCAGCTTAATGTGGGAGGAAAGCCCGAAGTGATGCAGGTCTTAGACGTTTACCACTTCGGTGAAACCTACGAGCACGGGTATGGTGCTGACAAACCTGAAGCATGATCGGGGCGAACCAGAACTCGAACCCACAATCATAGGTTTCTGGCGTGCCCAAGGGATGCAACTCTGCACAGCGAATTGCGGCGCCTTAGACGACTTGGCCACCCGTGCCCCCGAAGCATTATCAAAGTAATATTTTCTTTTGGATATGTATCTACGCTATTTCAAGTTTGACTTTAAAACTTCATTAACTTCATGCCAAGTGAGTCTCTTATACCTTCAACGATCATACAATCTGAACATTTTGGTCACTTACGCTCTTCACAAATGAGAGGTCCAACAAGGTGTCTAACTCGGCTTAATCTTAGCTGTGCTCTCATCCATAGCTGTGTTATGGGCAAGCTATCCATGTCGTCAATGTATCCACTGTCAGATCCCCATGTGTTGTCATCTGCTCTGGTTAAATCTTCTCTCGTATTGTCACATGCACATCTGTTAAACATGTACATTAATTAGCTCGGTAGTGCGCTTTTGATAAGTGATATGATTGCTTTTATATACCAGATCTTTTATTCCTTTGTGCTGAGCTGTAAATATGTATTATAGCTATCATCAGGTGATTAACCCAATCCAAACTCATTGTCCATAACTATGACTGTTATCATTCTTTGTAAACAGAATATACCGATTTGACCGGCAATACATTTCAGTCAAAAAATGTCAGTCATTTTATTTTCATTAGGTATATAATGATGACGAATACCATGAAATGTATATTCTATTTCATCACCCAGTGGCTGAAAATGATAACATTAAAGATAGCGAAAGTCATTGTATAATTTTTTGCATTTGATGGCTTCTAATCCTGGCATAATTAGTCCATCTTGACGTCTTTTGAATTTCTTAGTAACTTTAGTCAATCAATTTCCGTTATTTTACACATTGACTGTAACATACATATATGCTCAAACAAATATGATACTTACTACCCAGCTCCATAGGAGATTGGTATTACGGATTATTTCGTTTGTAACTGTATTTTTTTGGTTATGTTCAAATAATGAAAAGGAATAATGGCAAGTGACTTAAGATTAACCCGATAGTCACCTGTTCTTAATGTGAACAAAAACATGGTCAAAGGTGACTTTCAGTTTCGAAAACTAGCACTTTGTGGAAGACTTGATCAATATAAAATAAGAACTTAATTCCAACATATTAATCTTGCAACATTGACCGTTAAATGCAATTTTACATCACATTATTTCGAAAAACACTGTTAAATGTCCTTCAAACACAGTTCTTTTATGTCTAACATGCTTTCTGCGGACAGTGATATCTATAATAAGTTTGGGTTTTTCTATTGTTTCACGAAAACACCGTTCACATGTGCTGCATTTCGCAAAACTAATCTGTCCATTAGCAGTTACACACACACGTAATACACATTATGAACATTTTAAAACCTACCATCTTGTTGTGACCGTGACCTATATCTTTAGAACCTGACACTGTGCAAAAACAATTAACATACAGGGAATCAGCGATACGACGATCCCTTCTTTTGATTTGTTTGTTGTTTTACGCCGCACTCAGCAATATTCGAGCTATATGACGGCGGTCTGTAAGTAATCGAGTCTGGACCAGACAAGCCATTGATTGATATCATGAGCATCGATCCACGCCATTGGGATCGCTGACATGCTTCAACCAAGTCAGCGAGCCTGACCACCCGATCCCGTTAGACGCCTCTTAGGACGAGCACAGTCGCCTTTTACGGCAAGCAAGTACGTTTGCTGTAGACCTATTCTAACCCGGATCTGCACGGGTCACGACCCCTTCCTACTGATTTCTTTTACTGATTTACCAACTGAACTAGAAATAAAAGAGACCACCTGTTTCATATTTAGATATATAGACTGAGCGTGACAAACATACGCCACAAGACCACACGTGAAGACAGATAACATTTGAGGTTTAACCGAACATCCTCTTTCTCCGAAGATTTTTAAGAACGTCATACAACTCTTGTTCCCAAGCTGTTTGATCATGGCTACAACATGTATGGCCTCATGTGAACATCTGGTTTTAGAGAAACACCTTGAAATGGTTTGCACTATAACAATACTATTACTTCCCTTCATATACATTTTCAAGTCATAATTTCGCAGAATGCTATAGTAGGGTCCAGTAAATATACTATCACATGCCTGTCTCACAGATTAACGATAATCCTTATTACAATCAAGGAAGGGCTCTCTTTCTGTCCAAAGTTGTTTGATGAAGATTACAACATTCAAGGCCTCGGTAGAGCTTTGAAAAGGTTCTATGGTAGTAATGTGGAATACATTTCCACATTTGACGCATCTGGTACAACATGTATGTCAGATGCAATTCCCTTGACTTGTACTATTTCTTCTTGTGTTTTTTTCAGGTGAAGAACTGGCTTGCCTTTGCATGTGTTCGTGACGGATGCCACCGGTGGCGCAGGACACGTTAACCTTTCCGCGAACATCTGGTGTCATCGTCATCTGATCGTGATTCAGAAACACATGCTTATGATATAGTCGGAATCGCACTCTGAACTCTGTAGAAATTCCTTATGATTACGAACATGTTTTTTGTTCCTTTTTATTAGCGATGACATTGGCCTTTAACAAACTGACATTTGACATGCAAATATGAAGTTTCCTGTTTTGGCTGTATTATTAACTTGAATGCGGTTCAATGTGCATGAAGGAAGGATGGACATATCTAGAGGTAAGAAGTATGCCAGTCCATTACAATAAATCATACCAGTTGGGGTGATAATAAATAGTAGGGTTGCAATAGGGTTGCACAAATTCTTGGATGTTTCACCCAATTACATCAGACATGAAGAAAACATAAATGCAACCAAAGTTAAGTTTTTCCTATACGAGATGAATGTAAACTTGCCACCTACAGTGTATTGTTCACATTACAGGTCTTGTTGGTGTTAGGCCTAGGTAAAATTAATTATTCGATTTTAAAGAAAAATATACGAATAATGAAATAGCTACCATTTTATAAAACATGGGAAGAAATTATCACGTTTCCAGCAGTCCTTCCAGAAATAGGCATTTCTTCATACTGGCCGACTTTGTGAATCATTATCCATATGCAAAATGTGGAATATTCCATCAAGAACAAGACAGGGTTATTGTTCAGACATGAGACGAACAACGGCAGACTATAAAACTATGGACAGGCCGTTACAATAAATCATACCAGTTCACCCGAAATAATAATAAGGGAACTAGGCTGCTCAGCAAAAAAATATATGCGTAATATCGCGCCCAATTACTGTAAACATGGGACACGAAGAAAACATGCATTCGATCTTTCTTAAAGGACATAAATATGAACCTACTTTGTATTGTTGGCATTGCATGCGTCCCTTAAAATGCAGCTACAGTTACTGTTTGGGTCATCTGTAAAATATTTTCGAGTTCCTCCTGTGTCCCTCCAGAATAAACGATGCCTGTAGAAGTAATATGCCTGTAGACAGTCAAAGTGAACGCGTTGCCGACATGCGAGGGACGCCGACTTGATGTATTTGATGACATTATTCGGGACATTATAATGAAAGTCCTTAAGATATCCTGGTTCCCTTGTCACTGTCCAGTCCTCCAAGTCATGATGGATGAGTGTTGTTATCATTCCTTCGCTCATGTCGAATTTACACTCCACCGAGTACGTCTCTGGAAGAAAGTGGTTTACATGAGGCGAAAAGATCTGCAAAATTATAATATTCTACATTAATACAAAAAGAAGGGTGTCTGTTTATGAAATTCATAAAAAAACATTTTTTTTATTGCTGAAAGAAAGATAACGATCAATATGTCTTCCATGTTTGGGCTGTATTTTACATCATATATGAATTAACACCTTGGGGGTGGGTACCACTGCGCGGTGCAATGTTGCTTCACTTAGGCATGCCAGAAACCTGTGATGGTGGGTTCGAATCCCCGTGCGTCCTGGTTACATTGTCGGGACCATACCGTTGGTTTTACCAAAGGGGTAAGAGGCGTGCATAACTTCGGGATGTGTTTATATACTCACACGCAAAAGAAACGCAAGTGGTTTTAAGCAAATAGGTAACAAACACGGAACCATAAATTGATACGAGTTTTAGCATGTAGTGAAGCCTGATGGTGTTATCAATATTTTTGGTTGCATTTTGGAAGCCCCGGTTAAAAACGCAACATAAAAAACGAATCGCCAAAACGCACCATTTCAATGAAAATCTGGGTATCATGCACCCATTTCTCGCGAGATCGAAAATGCACGAACTATCACGAACTGTAGAGGGTATAAAACTGTGGCCGATTCTTGGACCTACCACTCCTTGGTCAACAATGCCACGCCTAACTCAAATTCAGAGAAACCAGGCTATCGGACGTTTGGAAGCTGGAGAGTCTGTCCAAGATGTTGCCCGTCATTTCAACGTTAACATAACCACAATTTACCTTCTCCTGCATCGATACAATGCTACACAGACCACAGATGACCTTCCTCGGAGCGGTCGTCCTAGGTTCACCACACCTCGACAAGATCGGCAGATTACCCGTCAACACCAGCGACATCCGTTCCTAACTGCAAGTGAAAGTGCTCGACAGACCATAGGAACACATAATCGACACATTAGCCGGGACACTTTGATCCGACGTCTCCGTTCCAACAACCTCAGATGTGGCCGACCAGCACTTCGTCCTGTTCTCGAACCACGGCATCGACAAGCACGACTTCAGTGGGCATCGGGTCATCGCAATTGGCGTCATCGTGGGTGGATGCGTGTCATCTTCTCTGATGAAAGTCGCTTTTGTGTCTCCCATGCAGACGGAAGAGTCAGAATTTGGCAGCGTCGAGGTGATCGTTTCGGTGACAGAAACGTTGTGGAAAGAGATCCATGGGGTGGACCTAGCGTCATGATATGGGCAGGGATTGGACTTAATGCGAGACTTGGACCCATGTGCTTTCTGAATGTTGGTCAAGGTCGGGGACACGGTGTCACTGCTCAGCGGTATATCGACGAAGTGATCAGACCCCACGTTGTTCCATTTTTTGCACAACATCAACAACACATTTTCCAGCAGGACAACGCTCGTCCCCATGTTGCCAGAGCTACCATGGCCTTTCTGCAACAACACAACATCCGTGTCTACCGTGGCCAGCCCTCAGCCCTGATCTGAACCCTATCGAAAACTTGTGGGATGAGGTTCAAAGGCGTCTGCAGAATGTGCGCCCAGTCCCTACAACTGCCGATGAACTACACACAGCTGCTCTGGATGTGTGCAGGAGGATCCCTAGGGCCTTCACAAATCGTCTGATCCACTCAATGTACAAGAGATGTGTGGCAGTGATCAATGCTAATGGTGGTCACACCGGGTATTGACTGACATTCTGGGTATTGACCCGAAACTGTGTAAGCCCTTAACATTTGAAAAAAACAATTATGTCATCCATTAAACTGCCTTCAGTCAAATTTTTGTCAATCTTGCCCTATTAGTATTTCTTGTCTTTACTGTTGAAGATAAATAACATGTATACTGCATACTCGACTTGCGTTTCTTTTGCGTGTGAGTATATTAAAGGTATAGCTTAGAACCCTTACTGCCCTCAATCACAATACTATATTCGCCATTCTCCCTGGACCCAAGGGCATACCACGCCCTACAAGACGGCTGACTGTTTGTGGTACACTGAGTATCCTCGTCTTCTCTGTATTGTCCCACACAGTCCACAAACCCGTCACACACCCTGGCTGGGGGCAAGCACCGTCCGTCATAGCACTGGAAGAAAGGTTCCCGGCATGCCTCTGGAAGAAAAATGTAAATCTTCACAAATTGACTAATCAAATTGTTTTGTTTTTTCAAAATTATGCATTGTGGTGTTTACGAGTCAACGATTAATCTATTATTACATAATGTATAATGTATATGTACACCCTCCTTTCAGCACTTTACATTCTCCATATATAAACTCTACTATAATTGAAAGTAATAATTGAAGAGTAGAGGACACGTACATGTGACAAGTACGTCTTAAACTAATATTAATTTGCGTATGTTAGATAATTGAATTTATGTCTGATATCAAAGGTACATGTGTTTCTAATTAATGCACAAAAGTGCAATTAAGTATTCTTAATGGCATTTACAAAATTAGCATTGACTTTCAAAGCAGCACATGCCAAAATGTCGACATCTCACGGACTTACCACAATGCTCTTCATCTGATCCGTCCACACAGTCCTGCAGGAGGTTACACCTCTGGTCAGATGACACACACTGTCCACTGCTGCATCTCCACTGGTCGGATGAACATTCACGGAACACTGGAAGATATAATATCTGTACCTACATAATTCATATAAGTTCAAGTCAACATAATTCATATGAGTTCAAGTCTATGTTTACGCGCACTGGCATGACATATCACATCGTTATACAGTCGTGCCCCGCTTATACGGACTTCAGATATCCGGAAACCTCGGTTCCCGGACGATTTTCATTCAAAACGAAATTAATTACTATATACTATATGTATAGTAAAAAGTGAAATCATGTACAGCAAAGGTGATAGTTATTATTGGGTTTTTTCTCTTTCCCATCAGCAGAAAATCCATACTCGTATCCGAGAAAACGCTTAAATGAAGCTTAAGTTAAACTTCTTGGCCAAATTCTCTTGTTTTGATTTTGCTAATCCGAGACGAAATTCCTATGAGCAAGGAGGGGGTCATAATGGGTGTTCTTGGGGATGCCAACTTCTTGCCTTATCTCCAAATTTCATTCACATGTTATCAATGAGGAAGTCCAGCATTTCACCAAAAACGATTTCTCAGTAAGCTTCAGACGACATTTGATTTCATTTGTCTAAATGTGTTTTATCAAGATTACAACAGTCAAGGCCTCAGTAAAGCTTTCAAAAGGTTTTATGGTAGACATATGAAGGACATTTCCATATTTGACGCAACAGTGACAAAAATGATGTCCGATGCAATTCCCTGTTTTGACTTGTACCATACAATCCTTTGTTTTTTCAGGTGAACTATTGACTTGCCTTTGCATGTGTTTGCGACAGGTGCCACCGATGAGACATGATACACTCACCATTACTCGAACTTCTGGTATCAGCATTATTTGAACTTCTGGTATCATCATTATTTGAAAGTGATTTACAAACATATGATTTTGCTATGGTAAGAATCGCACAATCGACTGGAGATTTCTTATGATAATGGAAATGTTTTTTTTGCTTTTATGTAAAGCCGAATTAATTTATCAACAATAACAAACATGGGTATGTTACTGATAGGTCAAGGATAGTAGGGGTAATTTGAGATTCGAACCCATGATCAATGGTTGCGAAAGTACTCAACAGCAACATTGCGACGTCTTACTGAGGCTTGGATAACGTGCATACTCATTACTTTCTCTTTGTTTCATGTTTGTCACAGCCCTAATTATGAGAACATATCTTGCTTATCTTAGGAACACGCCCATTTCGTATTCTTTGGGTGGGGGCAGAAATGGCCGGTCTCTTACCACACTTTGTTTCATCTGATCCGTCCTTGCAGTGTTCCTTGTAGTCACAGTAGAAGGCGAAGTCAACACATCCCCCATCAGTGCAGGTGAACATGCCACGTGGACAGGGGTCTGAAATACGAATACAACCGATGCATTATAGCATCAATTCACCAATGCATCAAGTCTTACGTTACAATGAACACTAGAAATATCAGCCTACCTGTCGAACAGTTTTCTTCATCGCTACCGTCGATGCAATCCATAATACCGTCACATGTGTAAAGTCTCGATATAAACTCGCCGTTAGTACAAGTGAAATAATAGCCGGTCCTTGCATCACTATCACCGCCGAGAGCAATGGTGTTCTCTGTAAGTGTTTATAATTATAAAATTGAATTGTTTTATATTAGCAAGATGATAGATAAAATTATAAATGGTCACATACCAAAATATATCCAGAAAATGTGACATCTGACGAGTACTATAAGAACAAACTTACAGCTTTAAAAACTGCATATACAACGCATCATAGTTGATTAATAGTACAACGCATTTTCTACTACAAACAAATTTTCCCAGAAAATGCTTGAAACAAATATATATGCATCAAACTGTTGGATATTAATAGAAATTGCCTGCCACAAAAATACATCGTTGAAATATATTTCATATTAGATGAACAATTAGGCTCATAGATTTAATTAAAATGTGTCTTATGTAAAATAATAAAAATAATAAATTGACATCTTAAAAACACACTCGGGATTAAAACCGACCGTATTCTATACGATATCCAAGATTAAAATAATTTGGTAACGCTGAAAGATAAAACAGCATGTATGTTAAATCATTTGTGTAATTACAAGTAAATTATTCTAATACAAAACGCATTAAACCTGGTGAAGCCAATGTACTGTTTGACGTCTCACAAATGTACTGAGAGATTTTGTTGAAGGCGCAGGCCACGTCGTGCCAGTTGGCGGTGGATCTGATGTTAGAGATGACCATCATGGTGCACGCCTCTCTCTCGAACCCGTCCGGCTGGGGTGCTCCATCAGAATCCCCAGCATACCTTAAAACGATAACGTCAGCAAACACAAATCTCGTGGTTTGTACATGCACCTTCTATCTTTGTTATGTTTTTTGTGAATACAATTTGTTTGTCATATTAATATGATCAGATGAGAATTGAAAGATGTTATCAAGCTGCAAGGTAATTGATAACCTGAAATTTCCCTCAGTTGGAACATTTCTTTATTTATTTGCGCCAAACATACAATGATTGTATTGAGATATGTTAGTTACCATTCAATTTGTGATAGTGGTTTTCCATCCGCCCACATATAACTGCCCCGACCTGTTTTTCGCAGCCCTGAACAAAATGAAGACAAATACATTGGGACATACATTTCTAAAAAAAAAGACCATGTGAGTCAGGAATTCACTGGCCACTCTGAACGTTTAAAACTGACGCAACTATAGGTCATAGGTCATTATGCAAAATTGTAACGAAATTATGTATCTTCCCATAGCATGGTTATGTCGGAGAAATAGTGCGAATAGTGTGATTCCGGAAGTAGTATAAAGAAGTTTTCTTTTGATTTCTCATAACACATTCAATGCAGGAAGGCAATGCTAATTTCAGTACAGAACCCGCAATGGTAGCATGTTGGGGAGTTACTTTTCTATTACAAAGCATTGATTTCATAATGTCATTAGTCTAGTCGCATTGAACACTTAAGAGCAAAGCCTTGCTCGTAAAAGTCTATGTGCGCAATGTTTGCTATGTTAATTGTTACATTTACCTATGTATATTTCTCGCTCAGGGAAAAGGTTCTTATTAAGAATGGTCGAATGGAGAAAATTCGTCTCATCTTTGTCGCTTATACTGACAAGATGGCCTCCAACTTCAATGCAGCGTTTCTCAGCATCTATCCAGGTGAGTCCGTCATCGCTTGTGATAAAGCTGTAGCAGCTGTGCCCATACTCATACCAATTCTCGTTACAATGACCTTCAAATACATAACTCGATCTCAATAGGCATACGAAAATAGAAACTTTACTGGAAAACATGTTGTCAGTCTGCACATTATTCATAACAACGATGCCCAAATTATTATATGTATTGGTTTAAAAAAAAATGAAGACCAAATATTATTTAGTGAGTTTGGCAAATAGAGACAGTGCTAAATAGGCAGACTGTGCATTCAGAATTTGTATTTGTTTGTTCATTATTAGGGAATATACCTGACAAATTCAGGAATCTAGTGCTGAGCTGAACAGTCTGCAGTGTGTACTTGAGTAGGAATCCTCTCCCAGCAGTGTCAAAGTCAGAATAAAACTCCACATCCATCATCTGCCAACTGCTCTGTATTTCACCAATCGGTCTTTTACTTTTACAAAACTTTCCAATCAATGTTTTCTTTTTTGCAAGGTCAAGGTCATAGAGACTGACGTAGTCTCCCTCACATTCTCCAACAGCTATGACGTCAATCATGTCAAAGGTCACAGTGACGTACTGGCCCAGCTGGCCCTGTATTCTCCAATTACAACTGGCCGAAACCGGGTAAAAGTTGGGGAAGGCAGCACTGGAGATGTAGCCACACTGGTGAGAACACAGGGCCTGTCTGGAGCAGCTGGACTCACCCTGGCCACAACTGCCACAATCTTTCGAGGAGAAATCAGTTAGCAATGAGATTCAAAATAAACAATAATATAGAAGTCCCATGATATGTGAGGTGAACAAACTGACACATATAAAGCACACAAAAGTTCATATGTGTGCAATGTTTTGTGCAGAAGCCTTTGACAAACTCGAACTACTTTTGATCAATAGCATTACTTCAGGAATTTGTGTACGCTTTGTCGCTCGATATCCAGTGAATACTTACGGTTTCTTATTGTAGTAGTGAAATGTATCCATTCTTAGTCAACTTGAATGGAGGAAATGAGGAACATGACAATAGTAAATATTACAAGGGAAATATTGCCGTGTGTGCGATTGCTCATTGGTCTGAGTTATCGCTGGTTTCTCTTTGCCTCTCCCAGACCCTGTTTTGATTCGTTGGTAACAAATAGAGACTACACACGGGTGATGTAAGAGCGGAGTGGATACTAAACCTGTGAAGATGATGGCCATACATTAACACAATGTTTCAGCTTTCATATTCATTTGGCCTCTCAATTTAAGTTCAAGTTTTATGCTTACAGCAAACAGGTACCAAAGATTCATCTTAAATTGCAAAGCACTTGGAAGACGCTTGACAGGTAATACGTTTACAAGCTTAAACAGGTTTATGGCGTAAGTCAATATGGCGCCTCAAGCTAAATGAATGAAAAGCTTACCATTATGACTATAGGTTTCTTAGCTTTTGTAGATAAACATTTGGATGATCTATGTCAACAGGTAAAATACTTTACCGGTTGCATCCACTTTGATAGTAAAACCTCGAGCATTTGTTTCTTTTATTCTGGGACAAGCTATCAAGTTGATCTCGACCTCGTACGAAGAGGACAGATAGCGTGGTTCCTCCAGGGTTTCAAACGAATGACCTTTCACTGATGCAATGACATGGTCGCCGCTTCTGTACCGATCGTAAATTGTCAGCGTGTCCTCGCAGTCAAAATATGCAGATGCTTCCTGTATAAGTAAACACAATTAATCATTACACTAATGTGATAGATTCAGACATCTATTGAGGCCATAACGACTTTGCTTTTATCATTTTATGTGACATAGCTTGAAGGTGTTATGATTATGAAGTAAACAAACTATGAACCAAGATGTTGAAAGATGTTGTATAGTTATTATTTATCCAAAGGATAACACATTCCATAAAGCTTCCATTAATGTATACTTTAAGACTTAAAGTAGAGAAACATATTATTACAAGAGTCTCACATAGTGCTCTTCTTTTAATGCGAGATCTATATCAACAAGGTCAAGGCTGACAAATGTTCCTTTCCCAAGTCCCACAGTCCATGTACAGTTAATGTTCTCTCCATAGTAGAAGGGGTAGGCAGGGGAGATAATCTCGCCAGTGTGGTTCATGATGCCACCACATTTATATACATCATTGGAGATATCTAAATTGAGAAAGAACATTTCATATTTCATGAACTATTATACTATTGAGATAAAATCTGCTTGTTGCTCGTTCAATTGAAACAATGTCTTTGCCAGACACCAACTTCAGGGCACATCATATGAGTGAAAGATCCCCTTTGTAGCAGTTCATTAGCAGGGACAGCTTCATGGCTTTACCCATGTGCTCCTATTCACTAACTCGACAGTATGAGTCCATTAACCAACGGAGAATGTAGCATGCATCCTTGGTTAATGATATTTTCTATTACAGATATACGAGCTAGAGAAACTGTGGCTTTGGCGAACAGAAAACAGTTAAAATTCAACAAGGACACCATAAATACTTGTAGAACACTATGTCTGTTTGTTTGTTGTTTAAGGCCGCAGTATTCCATCTACATGACTTTTTTCAAGTATGAAGCTGATCTGCTACAATGTAGATCGTTTCGATATTGATTCAAGGGATCAGCATTATATTTTGTAATGCTTAGGAGCACAATAATTTTTCAAACACTAACAGGTGCTCAATTATTTTTTTATAGATATATAAAAGTAACGACCTGTATTCTTTGATAGAGTCTGCAAGAAAAGGGCACGTTATTTGTTATCACATAATGCGAGGCGCATGTACATTCTTTAAAGGTAAAACAGGGGCTTGAATAGTCTTTAAAAAACGATCAAATAGATGCTCTCTTATTCAAAATTTGTTCAAATCACATATACATGTACCTCTTATGCACACATCTTGTCCAAATTCAGTTCCTGGTCCATATCCTACTTCCCAACGGTTTCGATAATGGCGACTGTATCTGGATCCAATCATCATGATACACTCCTCGTTGTGATACTGGTAAGCTAGATAATGATTTCTGTTGGATGAGTAATAACTGCGACACTCCACTATGGTCATGTTCTTTATGATATACGAGTCGATATTTTCAACTGACGGATATATTCTGTGCGTGGGCATCTTTTGTAGTCCCAGTTTCACATTTTGGTCCCGGCATTTTACATCAAAGTTCACTGTGTAATGATATAACAATATTGCCATTATTACCATTTACTCTGTTTCATTAACATCGGTAACTACAATGAAACCTCGTTAATATGTACGGTATACAACGTGTTTTAACTGAAATCGTCTGGGTGAAGAACATCACACCGGATGAACGAGTCATGGATACATCATAATGCCTCTTTGTATATATTTTAGCGTCCCCGACAGTAATGGGCGATCTTTTTTAAATCAACTTCCCTTAACTAAACAGCTAGATGCGCTGTACCAGCAGACCCAACTGACAGCGCATGTGGCATACGCCATACGAGCGGTACATACTGTAACACTTAAAGACGGTTAACCAGACTACCAGAGTATAGCCTTCAACTTCATGAAGGTGTATGGGCAGTATATATTTCCGCCTGAACAATGGTATATCTACTGTTATAACATGTCCTGACACATGTTTCCCATGATTCAGTCATATATCAGTGATGACCACGATATTGCTTCTTTTGCAATTGTGAACCACTTGATGGCTGTGCGAAGCCAGGTGGTGGGATCAGCTGATCGTTTTTTCAAAGTTGCTTTGTTAAAAATGTTATCCTTGATTTTCAATTCCACACTTTTGAACATGTATTCTATTTTAATTGTATGCGTCTGCGTCTGCGTCTGCATGTCGTGTATCCCCGAATAAGCTATAAGCATTAATTTCACCACAGGGGCAAGGTGATGGTACGTCAAATATGAAGAAGGTCTTATGCGCTTTGTAATGTTTTGAATCCCATTAGACCTTAGTCATTTCAAGTGTGCATATTTAAAAACCACAACATTCCTATATTTGCATTACACAATGTCCCCATATTAAAAACAATTAACATTTTTATAAATTGTATATTGCATTACACAAGCATGCCTTTCAGCAGTAATCATCCGTAAAATCTTCTATTCATAACCGCGACCATATAAATATAATTATATATAGCATGTATATGCAATTGGGGTCGCAGTTTGCAATATGTCATGATAAACATAATATGATTTTAAACAATTTATTGAAAGCAAATTGGAATTTAAACATGTAAACACAAATTGGATTACACTTTTTCAAATCAAATTTATCATGACTGATAAATAGACCTAAAACTACGGTTGTTTTTAAATTGCTGTTGAATGAAAATCATGATTGCAGGATACTGCATTGGTTGAAAGGGAACCAACAGTAGAAAAAACTAGTCAACATATGTTACCAAACCAAGAAAATGCTACAATTACCATATACAAATGTACATATATTTAAGTATCATGCATGTCAATGTCATACGTCAATGTGATTTCTTATTTGTTGGAATAAATATCTGTAATTTACTGCTGTTTTACTAGCGTCAGGATCTACATGGTGCAAACAATATGTCAATTTATTTTACACCTGTGATGAAGAAGAGGACTAAATAATGGAAACATTTTATAACGGGCAGACTAACATGGATAGATCTTTCAAAAAATGATGATCGTTAGTATATTGCGATTGATTGGTTGAGAGATGCATGGTAGATTTTTCATTTTGATTATTTCTAATAATTATCAGAAGTTTTCAAATGAAAACAGCGGCAAGACGAAATGTTTATATGAAAGTGATATTAATGATTAGTTCTTTGCATGTTATTTCTTATTTAATTATTAGTAAAGGCAAGGATGTATAATAATTTAGGTCCGCGGTAGAATATGTGTCAAACTATGTCCGGGTGCTGCAGATGTATCTCCGTGTACTTTTTAAATCCATGGTAGTATGAATACTATCTGGTAGATTTGATTTGAATGCTGCAATGGTTAGGGGTTTGTCATAGGAAATAACACAAAGGATGATAAATCATATGGATTTGCATTATTTCATTGATGCTCTATATGTTGCCCTGGAATGACAGAATGATTCGATCCTCGTTCCTTTATGACGCAGAAAAGGAAGGGAAAACACATTTTTTCCTGGCGTTTTTCCCGTTACCGCCCATTGTGTCAGTTCGTGTTTTAGTTGTAGACTGAACAAATGATCATATTCTAAACAAACTACAATACAATACATGTGCTAGTTTCGGAAATTCAGTTGTAAACGACCTTTTTGTTATGAAGGTTGGTAGTTTTGTTGACATTAATTATCATAAACGATGTATTGTTGACTTTATCTTGTTTCCAAGTACAATCATAGAAGAACATAGCTAACCTCTCTTTGGACAGCCAATGAGATCGAACTTAAGACAAACAGGTGGCTTGTTCCGATACAGGTGTAGTCGGACAATCTTTGTGACTTGTGTGGAAAGATGGAACTTCTGAGATATATGTGATTCGTAAGTCGGAATAAGGTGAAAAACCTGGAATAAAACATTCATTTATAATTAATCAATATATAACTTCTTTCGTTATTTATCATTATGAGTTTGTGTAAATAGTTAAAGCTGTTTTTATCAGCCAAGACTGGCACCCACAGGAAATATCGCAAAAGAAATGTCTGAGGAGATTTGTCCATTGACATAAACGTTAGCTTTGTGTTTAAATTTTCAAGTCTAACACAAGTGATCTTACACTAGTCTTTGATTAGGGTAATTTGACGTCATAATCCTGGCAGTATTTCCCAACAGATTAACCACATGAACAAAAGAAAGGCTTCAGCTATCGTTTTGAATTAAGAAACACAAGTAAAGGCAATATGTAGGCATGGCTTTGTCATTAGCTAGGCGTATCAAATAAGTGCATTTTGATCTTTTGGCGATGAGATACGCCTTTTTAATTCAAGACGGTGTCAAGCGTCAATATGGTCATCATCTTTAATCTAACGCGTTTGTCCTTAGAGATTGAGAATGATTTTGATTTGAAAATAAAGTCTCTCCCCCGTGTCTCTCAATATCAAATACATCGACACTCGTCTATAAAAGTAAACGAAACACGGGTGAGATTCTATAAACAACTGTATATTCATAACTGGTGTTCGAGAAATGTTCAACTAAACTCGTGCATATTGCTAGAAAAAAACAACAACTTTCAAATGGCCATAACATGCAATGCCTATTGACCAAAATGACTTTAATTAATACTGGTTTTAAACAGATTCTATTGGGCGTAAAATGCAAAAGAGCAGTGAAGCAAGTAGGCAAGATAGTAGATGATGACGACTGGGGAATGGCTTTCCACATTTTCAAACGACTGGAGATTATGTAGATGGAGTATGGCATGGACATATTTACCTCTCATTACAATACCAAAGTGCAAAGTGTCCCTGTTTTGTCTAGGGTGTGCATTCATTGATACTTCTACAGAGCATAAGTGATTTTTGAACAACTGGATAGTTCCATAAATGAGGTTGTGCAGAACCGAGAGTACTCTCATTGTTCCAGTGTGGTATTCAGCTATTTATTGTCCGTTATTGTGTCCAAATGGTAATTTCATGAATGTTTGTATTAGATTTCATATATTTACCTATAGAAAGAGAAGCCTCTGTGCCAAGCATACATCATGGTGTATCGTTCCCCTCCTCCCGAATATGAAATGGTTATTCCCTAAAGGCAGGCATAGGTGGGCAATGTGCCCATTGAAATCCATGTACTACCTCTTAACTGTGCTATTCATCTGGATGCTGTTATGAACCAAAGTGAGCTGTTTTCACCCGTACCTCCACCCTTTGGGAGTATTCGTCAGGCTCATCATATCATTCGATCGCCAACGCCTAAAGATAATGTTTTTGAGGCAGTGAAGCGTACACTTTCTGAACCAGCTTGTAAGAAAGAGCCAATTTCAGTTGGTATTTTAAAAGGTTGTTCATTCTGAAGTTAAATCTAGATGTTTGAAAGATAATACAGATAATGATATGAAACGTATAATATCAATGTCTTTCATTGCATATGCAGGTTTCGTGAGATTACCTGTTAAGCCCAATGGAATCTGTTTCAGCGGATAATCGAGACTAATTGCTCTCTCACGCAATATTGCTGAAGCTTTTTGATAAAACCTGTG